GTGTGCCCTGTTTGGTGATTTTCTCTGAGTTCTTCTGACTTTCTCGCATCAATGATGGTCATGTCCAGCCCCTACATCACTCATCAATTTGAGCTCTCAACGACTGATTTGGAGGAAGCTATGAATTCCCGCTCACACAAACAAACACACTAACATACAAATTTAGCGAATTATATATGGTAAGGTGATTGGAAATAGTCGATTTGACATGTTGATCCCCCTTATTGAGTTTGAGTGAAAATTTTATTTGACTATCAGAGGCAGACGATGTAAGGGCAACAATCTTGCAGTTTGTCGAGAGTTGAAGGAAGGCGGAATGACGCTGATCAGCATCGATAGTGGACGTGGGAACGAGGCAATGCGAGGTCTAGCCGACACCCTCGAAATGCCACTGATCTCGCTCACTGCACCACTCTATCCGCAAGATCCTCCCAACTTGTGAGTAATGTTCCTGGAACCTTGACAGTTTGAGGGAATGGGTCTGTCTCTATTAACACTTTCTTTGAATAGGAACCCTACTGCAAGTGATTTCAGCTTCGAAGTGTCAGTGCGACCATCTCCAGCAGAACTTCTAGCTGATTTCGTCATTCACAAGGAATGGCGAGAGATCATTCTACTGACGGATGGAGAACATTGTATGTTTACTGTTTTTTCTTTTCTTTCGGCTCATGAGTTACTCACGAAATCCATAAGATGTGGTAGGCGTAACTACGTACTCATTTCAACATAGTGGCCTCTGCGCTCCTAATTGGATATTTCATTTTGTGACATCTGCAATCAAGTCTTTGTCCAAAAGCCAAGATGACAGTTGCCCCAAGACGAAAACGAACAGCCCGCCATGATCGGATGAAATGCGCAGCCACGCCCACCGCGTCCCAGGGATTTGGTATATAACAATTTCTCAGAGCTATCTGCAAATGTTATAGACAGTGAGGAGTAGATGGCCGGGGGAAAAGGTTAATCTGAAGACGAGTGGTTGGACTAAACTCAAACGCCGAAAGCAAAAACAAGCATGGTTTTGAATTAAGAAAACTCAAGGAATCATACATTTCTTACTCCCGGCGGGCCGACTTTTCTATCAAGAGTTTTGAGTGAAACCCATTAAAGTTTTACTGACACAATATCAAATGTCAGCTGGAAGTGCCCCTCATAAGTAGTTAGTGCACAAGTTCAAATGTTACTGAGCACGGTGGAGAGCTGCCTAAAAAATCAGGTCACGAATATACGACTGACGCTGCTGAGCATAGCGCGACGTTCCTTGCCACGTCGCCGCAGTGCGGGTCTCCTAACCACTATTCGCGACAACTCGTAATTCCCTTGGTGTAAATCCCGTTGGAAAGAAATGACGGTTTCCTCAGAAAGGGTTCCTGCGAACCTAGCCACTCATCCGTGAAAAACTTACCATAAGA